TGCTGCTGCTGCTGCTGCTGCTGCGGGGACCCCCAGCCCTGCAGGCTCTCGTCTCCGGCGTAGCGGGAAGGGTAGGGGCTGTTCTCTTGGATGGGGTAATTGGGGAAGGAGGCCGGCCGGCCGGGGAGCTGCTGGCCGCGTAAGGGCTTACTGCTTCCCCGGTGGTACTTCTCCACGGTGCTGTTTTCGCCAAAGCCTTGGTACGGCAACGGGGGCAGCGGAGGCGGCGGCTGCTGGGGGCTGTAATACTCTTTTGCCACCAGCCTCTGACGTTCGCAGGCCGGGCTTTGATGCCTGTAATTCTCCAGGCGTGATGAATCTTGCGAAGACGAAGTCGGCTGGTAGTTCTGCTGGTTGCCATGGAAACCACACCTTTCGCGAAAGGACTGCATGGCTGGGCCTTGTTATCTGCGGAGAGAAAAGGAGAAACCGGAGGATTAAAGTCAACGCGTTTTTCTCCCCTCCACCGCCGCCCCGCCCAACTTTTCACCTTGAATGGTGGTGGCCTTGTCGCCGGCTCTGCTTTGGAAGCAAACAAACAGATGCCTGAGCCGAAGGCGGGGAGTGGGGGGGTCCCCCCCCACACTCTGGCTTTGCTTTTCCCCCCAAATCCATACAAAAGAGTCGACGCGGCGGTGCGGTTGTTAAAACCCATCTCCCCGCAGTGACACAGGGACACGCTGCCCTGGCCCACGGGAGAACCAGGGAGGAATTTTAGCAAATGCAGAAGCAGCACGCTAGCCAGAAAACGAGCACAGCGCCATTTGTCCCCTGGGCCGCCTGCAGCTCTTCAGCGGGACTTACGGCTTGGTCCCAGCCCCAGACAGCTGCCATCTTGCCTTTATGGAACCCAGAAGTCATCACCAAGCCTTGCTGGAAACTTCAATCCCGATTTCACAAACCAAACAGGGCACCCTTTGCGGGCGCCGAGCCGAAGACTCCGGTTAAGGAGCCACTCGTGGGAGCAGTGAACGTGGCGAGGGGAGCGTGCTGGCTAAACTTTTGGAAAGCTGAGCACATCATGAGATTCCAGCCGAGGCGTCTCCCCGTCGAGCAAAACCAGGTGGTATTGCTACAGAGAGGTGGAACGGCGTTTACCCCTTTGCGCGAGCAGAGGGCTGTTTCTCTGGGATGTCCCTGTGAGCTTAAACGAAACACACGGGCTGAGCTGGAGGCCCCTTTGAGCCGCAGCCGGCAAGCAGCACGTCAGGCCGGCAGCCGTGGGCGCAAGGGAAGTATGCGAGTGGGAGGAATCTGGGTGAGGGTGACTCCCCACTTCAAACGGTATCGTCTATTTGGCTATTTCAGCCGCTCACCCCCAGACGCAGACGTGGTTGTCCTTAGGAGAAGCAGGGGCCGAACTGGGTTGGCCTGCGCCTTCCTCTCTTCTCCCACGTTCAGCAACTGTTCTGAAGCATCCTCATCTGGCCATCACGCCCAGCCCTGAGCTCTGAAGGCGCCCTCCAGCCTGGGAAGGAAACGGAGGAAACGTCCAGATCTCGCACACCGAAAAAACACCGAAGGTGCAGCTGGTCGTTTCGTGGCCTCTCCAGCAAACCTTTACCCTGGTGAGCATGCCGCCTAGACGTCTGGAGTTGTGCCCTTCACCTTTGACTCTGTGAAAAGCACTCAGCAGACGAGTCTCCACGTCCAGTCTGTGCGGCAAAAACAACCAAGGATCTTGAAGCATTTTAAAGGGTCCCCAACACAGCACCGATCGCCAGGGCAGCCATTCCAGAATACAGGGTTAGTCTCCCAGAGAAAATTGGCTTCTTTGTTGTTCGAACAGAAGCATCTTTCCTCTGGGCTGAGGTTTCTGGCCATCACAGCTGGTCCTCCCAGGATTTGGGGCTCTCCCCTGGATATTTTTCAAACCCTGGCTCTCCTTGCCCCCGGCCTGCTATTCCCAATGGGTGCGCTTTGTAATTGGTGCAGTACATCTGGAATCTGTCTGCTGTTTACAACAGAGGACTATGAGGAGAGCGGTGATATTTTTAAGAAATCCTGGGTTTTGCAGCCCTTGTCGCACTGGAAACCCCGCAGAGCCCCTGCTGTTGTATTTTCATGCAGGACGGATGATGCCGTGCGGGGATAGTGAGGGAGAATTCTGGAAATCTGAAGAGGGTGTACCTCATCCCCCCACAAAAGTCTTACTGTAAGTTATCTCTGGGTTTCCCTACCTGGCATCCTTCAGGAATGCTGGAACTGGAACTCCCTAACTTCCCAGCCAGCCTGGAGAAGGCTGGGCTTACCATAAGCAACCTTATGCTTCACTTAGTGCCTACAGATTTTCCGCTACCTTAACCCTGCTTTCCCTCTTGACCCTTGCGGTGTGTTGACCATCATTTCTGCAGGGGGTTCCATGCGCACCTTTGGGCCAGCGCACACCTTCTTCTTCCATACAATCCTGTCTGTGCTTTATCATGTCCAGCCAACTTGAGCATTTGCAACCAGGCATTCAAATTCTTTTCCCCAACACGTTCCCCGTTCCTGAGGGTGCACACCGTCTTTAGGGGTGGGTGATGGGGGACAGACAACACCAGAGGATCCGGCTAAGAAGCAAATCAGCCTCTCGTCCCTTTTTTTGACCTGGGTTTTTCTGTACTCCAGAGGAAGCACAAGGTGCACGCACACACATACACACTACAGCTCGCAGTACAACCCAAACAGCTGCTCGCAGGACTGCAGCCTGGATATTAGCAAAGTCTGCCCACCGCAAAAATACAGGCACCTGCAGGAATGCCGCTATGCGTACGCCATCGAGCAAATTGATACAAGCAGATGCCCGCATGGCTTGCATGCACAGACATCACTTATTGGCAAGGCTCTAAAGACATGTGCACAGAAATCTGGAACACTGATAGCAAACATGGGTACACCAATGATACGATGTGGGGATGGTAGGGCATGGGTTGAAAGCTCTTCTGCCCTTTCATTCTGCATCAGCAAGAATCTGTTTCTTTGGACAAGACTTGCTTGCGACTGGGGCATAATGTGGACATCTAGGAAGGTGCAGAACCTGGCTCTGTTTCACAAGGAAGCCATCCGCACCTTTCGTCAGCTTGCTCAATACATACACACCAATGATGTTTTTGCTTTTATGGGTTCACATGGCTGGCTGGGGAATTCTGGGAGTTGAAGTCCACACATCTTCAAGTGGCCAAGGTTGAGAAACACTGTCCTACAGTGATTGCTAAGACATTGATATCTTGTGCTGGTTTTTTTATATTCACCTCCAAAGAAAGGAAGGAAGGGAATGGGAATGAAGAACAAAACTGGGGCCTAACCCTTCTGACAGCATCTGAAAGAACAATTCTCAAGGCGGAAGTTGGGAATCTCGAATGCCCGAGATGCTCTGGGATGACAACTCCCATCGCCTACTTGTGGTTGGGACTGATGGGAGTCACCATCCAGCAGGCTACCTCCCTCTGCTCTGAGGCACCAAGGGGGTATTCAGTGGTTTTCTGTTGCCTCTCTGAAAAATTTTCATAGAACCAGGAGCTGTTGGTGGTAAAAAAGTAAAGATGGCCACTATGATGACATGGCCATGGCTTCCATCTTTACTTTTTTCACCCCCTTTGTGGACACCCCTGCACAGAACAGGAGTCACAATGGTACAAATCACGCAGTCCCTTTCTCCGGACCACCCATCTCCTCCAAAGAATAACTTCCGTAGTTTTGCATCTGTCCCCTGCATTAATGGCGAAATTTCCCAAAACACACCAGCAGGTAAGATGTTACAACACAGCCAAGCCTTCAGCTTGAGTAACTTGGCCCACGACTCACTGCAGATGTTCTTCCTTTCTCTGTCTCTCCTGCAGTTCTGCCAACTGTGTCCCAAGCAAGCAAGCAGGATGGAGGAAAGAAAAAATTAAGGAACAAAGAGGAGGAAATCAGAGGTTGCTGAGACGCAGGGCCGCTCAGCTGCCTCTGGAACGAGCACTGATGAAAATGACATGGCGTTTGGATTGACGGATCCCACTCTCTTTCTGTTTGGTTCTGAAAGACTAAGGCTGGGTGGAGACTTACTTTGCAATTTCTCAGATGCTGCTTTCCCCTGCAATTTCCCCCCTGCTATTCTCAGGTGCTTGAGATTTTCTTCCTGATTCCTCTGGGTAGGGTTTTGATCCAACTTTTTAATAGAGGAAATGCAAGGTGTTTGTTCTGGTGCTCCCCTTGCCAAGTGTAGAAAGACTTAAGCTGAAACCACCTGGTGAATCCATCCTGCTATCTTCTCTTGGGACTCAATGGCTTACACAGACTCCTTGGTGTACGTTCGATGACCCCAGCCAGTGGTTCAGTGGACCAGTCTTGCATCGATGAACTGAAGGAGAGAGTTTCTAATGTCCCTTCAGCTGTGCCCCTACCACACCCTTAACTTGGTGACTGAATTCATCCATTTTCTGGGGTTGCACAATCCACAGAATCATAAACTAATCACAAGCTTCACACACACACACACCAGGCAAAGCTAAAGCCAAGTTTAAGAAGTTGTGCATATGCTGGATTTGACTGCATATGCTCCGTGAACACAGCCCTCTCAATCTAAGCTCGCTTGCTCAGTTCATAAAAACGGCATTGGAAGGGTATTGTGTGAACTCCAAAATCCAACCATGAAATTAGATTCTCTTTAAATCAGGCATGAAAGCCACCAGGATAGATCCAAGGGTGCACAATCGCAATACACTAAAGGGGCTGTGGAGCCGGACAGATCATTCAGCCAGTAATCAAGGCCCCAGGAGACTGGTGGCCGGTCTACCAGGGACGCGGCCCTGCAGCCCGGAGCTGAGAAGTCGGAAGCTCCCACAGGGGCATAGAAGGAACTTCCTGCAACCTGGTTTTGCTGCTTCTTAGCACTGGGTGTCCTGGGGTGGGATCTGGCAGCCCCAGAGCCAGGAAGGGAAGGGAAGGGAAGGGAAGGGGAGGGGAGGGATGATCTTGCTGTCTGGGCTGGCTCAAAATGCAGAGCAGACATTTCATCTTCCCGTGACTTGTCCAGAGATAACCGCAGCCCCCACGGTGGCGCCTCCATAACAGCCAGCCTCGGTCGCCTGCTGTTGCCATAGAGATGGCCTCTGGGCATGCATGCGTTCATGCCTGTGTGCGTGTGTACATCTGGACAATGCCCTTCCAACTTCCATAACTTCTTTCCAGCTTTGTCCGCTAAGGTGAGGAGCCTTTCTGTTTTGGGAGAAAACAAAGCACAGTTGTCTTCAGAAGGTCACCTTCCTCCATTCCCATGGGTTTTCAGTCAGTCTTTCATGGTATGGAACAAACTGCCAAACTCTTCTCCCTCCTCCTCCTCCTCCTCTTCATCCTCCTCCTCCTCCTCCTCAATCCTAGAAGCGTAGCTGTGGGGTCCTCATAACCCTCTTTTCTTCTCTGAAATCAGCCTCGGCTTCTGAACTTCCTTTGGCAGTGAAGTCCAGAGCACATCCTCTATTTGCACATTAAGTGACAGCGTCACACGAGGAGCCCTTTGGAGGACACAATATGCTAAGACTGAATAGGCTTAATTATGGTAATTTGGGAGGAGCTGGCAAGTTTAGAGTTCAATGTATTGAGAGGACCGAGGAAGTAGGTAAGTTCGTGTAGCTGGGTTAAAGGTACGGTGGGAATCTGGTTAGTTTCCCCTCCTGAAAAAGGGGTGAGCTGAGGCCCACAGCTCCTTGCCACGGAGAACAATGCTCCGTAGAAGTGAAAGGCAGAGCTGAGGAGCAGGCTAGGGCACCAGACTGAATGCCACCCCCTTCCTATTCTGCACCTCCGTCCCACGTGCAAGAATGAGCACACCGCGAGGGGCCGTGTTCTACTAACAAAAAGTATTGGGCGACCGGGTGGGCATTTCTGCGGAGGTAGGAACCCTTCCAACTTAAATTTGGGAAGACGAGCGAGCGTTCTGCTCTGCTTCGTGCAGGCTCTGCCCTCCGTGACTTTGGTCCGTCCTCCCATCATTTTGCAGCCTACCTGCTGATTCCGTTCCCCATGGAAATGGGTGTCTGCTCTTGGAGGGAGCCTGAAGGCGGACAGACCGGATCGATCGCTGGGGGGGGGCGCGGGGGGGGGGGGCGAAGGGGAGGCGGGCGACGGCATGGCGGTTGTGGCCGCGAATCAGCCGAACCGCACACGCGGTTGAGGAGCGTTCCAGAGCTCGGCTGGAGAACTCATTCAAGTATCTACGGCTCCAGGGGGAAGGAAGGGTTTCTGAAAACATGCCACTCCTGAGGCCGATCCCACTCGTTGGCAGAAGGCCCTTTAGAATTCAAAGCCATGTTTTCTGTTCAGGGAGCAGCCAAACCCAAATCCCGCAGCTGTTTGGTTGCTCGGGGAAAAAAGTAAAAGGAAGGAGATGGAGAAACTCTTCTCTTCAGCAGCTCCTGTCGGCTACTCTAATGTAGCTCCAAAGCAGAAGCTTAAAAACAAAAACAAAAAACCCTTTAACCAAATGCAGAAAAGACATGGTTA